AGAGAGAGAGAGAGAGAGAGAGAGAGAGAGAGAGAGAGAGAGAGAGAGAGAGAAGAGAGGAGAGGCTGGGCAGGAACACATGGAGAGAGAAAGGAGGTAGGGGAATGGGGAGAGAAAGGACAGAGAGGGAAGAGGGGAAGAGAGGAAGAGAGAGGAGGGGGACAAACAGCCCCTTTTATAGTGAGTCAGACACCCCTGGCTGTTGCCAAGTAACTATGGGCGGAGCCTAGAAGGAATGTAAACATTCCTCCATTTTGGTTTAATTAAAAAAAAAAAAGCCCCAGCTGCTGCCCTTCTCCCAGTCCACTCACTCCCTAAGCACAGCGCTGTATTATAATGATGAACATCCCAGACTGTGGTTTTAACTCGCATGCACACGTGGCTCAGAAAACGGAGATCACTGAGATCATTATTAACGCGCCCAGTGAACCAGTATATCAATGCTTTTCTTCAAATCCGCTAACTTGCACCCAGATTTAATGAAGTCCCAACAGTGTAATCACCTTCTTTTTCACCTTTTGTCCTGAAGCTTTATTTTTTAGTAATATGTAGTCCAGGTCTGCAATACCTGACAATACCCTCACGTTACAGACCTGACAATACCCTCACATTACAGAGCAGCCCTGTGTTTTGTACGCTAATTTCTTTTCTATACTCCTGTATAGCAGATCTCCAACAAATGCGGTTGAATTTTAGCCGGATACCTGACACATGTGATCGTCTAAAGTTATTCACTAGAAAATCAAAAAGTAAACAGGAGCTCTGTCATCTTTAAGGAAAGGGGTCTGGTCTGTCTCTGAGTCTCTCTGTCTCTCGCTTGTGTTTTGTTGGGGTTTAAACCAAAGTCTTCTGTGTTCTAGGCAAGAACTCTGATAATAAACTACATCCCTAGCCTAAGAGTAATCCTTTGCTTAGCATCCCTGATTTAAACACAGAGATGGAGGGAAAACAACAAATCTTAGATCTTTTACCCTTCAGATAAACTAGCATTTGTTGGTTAAGTGGGTTGAGGATTCATTTGCCAGTGAGCCAGGATTTGAAGCCATATCTGCCCGGGCGGTGGTGGCGCACGCCTTTGATCCCAGCACTTGGGAGGCAGAGGCAGGCAGATTTCTGAGTTCGAGGCCAGCCTGGTCTACAGAGTGAATTCCAGGGCAGCCAGGGCTATAAAGAGAAATCCTGTCTCAAAAAGCCAAAAAAATAAAAATAAATAAATAAATAAATAAATAAATAAATAAATAAAATATGAAGCTATATCTGACTCTAAATCACACTGTTTTGCCACCCTGTGTGACCACAGCAGCTACCTGGCCCTCATCTTTAATTCCAGCACTTGGGAGGCAGCAGCAGGCAGATCTCTGTGAGTTCGAGGCCAGCCTTGTCTACAGAGCTAGTCCCAGGATAGCCAGAGCTACACAGAAAAACGTTGTCTCAGAAACCAAAAAAGAAAGTAAGCTTGAGTCTGGAGAAGTGCACACAAGTCTTCACTGCCTTGCTTGTCTGCGAGCTGTGCGCCGTTGGGGAAGCTAACCCAGAAATACTGAGTTGCTTCACCTTTAAGTAATGATATGAGAACCTACTTCTGAGGTTGGTTGTGAAGTTTAGAAACTCTTTGTTTTTATTTATCTTTGATTTTGAGACAGGGTCTCTCTATGTAGCTCTTGCTGTCCAGGTGCTTGCCATGTAGAGCAGGTTGGCCCCAAACCCAGAGATTCACATAACTCTGCCTCCCAATGCCTGGCTAAGATTTTCTTTTTAATTACATGTGTCTCTATGTGTGTATATGCCACGAGTATGTGTTAAAGAAGGCTAGAAAGATGGCATTGGACCCCCATAGCTGGAATTAAAGGTGGTTGTGAGTCACCCAACCTGGGCACTGGAAACTGTCTTCTGGAAGAGCAGCAAGCACTTTTAAGCACTGAGCTCTCACTCCAGCCCCAAGCTTAGAAATTTTTACATAGATAAATGGACCATGTCATAATGAATACTCAATAACTGTTTATTAGATTGCTTAGCGCATTCTATGAACAAGGCCTTGTGCAGCCCTTGTGATAAGGAGTCTGTTCTAAACTAAAGACACATCCTTCCATTGAGTTGTAAAGACGCTGAGAATGTACTAGGCTTCACTGAGACTTCTAACATCAGTGCAGACATCTTTTTTTTCTTCACCTCCCAGCTTCCCTCCCAGTCCCTGCCCTAGATCTAAAGAACACTTACCCTACAACTGACAAACTTGTCCTTTTAGCTATCAAAGTTAGGGGCTGGAGAGATGGCTCTGCAGTTATGAGCAATTGTTGCTCTTTCAGAGGACCAGGGTTTGGTTCCCAGTCACAACCATCAGTAACTCCAGTTCCAGAGGATTTGATGGCCTCTTCCGACCTCTGTGAGCATGGGATGCACATACATCCGAGGAACACTCATATGCATAATATAAAAATAACGCAATTAGCACCTGTTATAGTAAAGCACTAAGAATTAAAGATGATATAAAATATGCTCTCCCTTTTCTCAAGTGCTAGCTATATAAACTAGTTAGGGAAGAAAAACCATGGGATAAAAGTAGTTTCTAAATAGTGGTACTGTTGGCTTTCAGAGTAGTTTAATATATTGTTGGCACTTGGAACTCCAGTAGGAATACTTGATAAGAGGCAGCTTTCTTTCTACGCTGGCTTATAAAAGCCACCCTAACCCGTAACACACTCGCATGGAGAGCGGCACTAATAAGCAACTATATTTACCATGTCTTCTGATGAAAGGAGGCATTAGTTAATTAGAGACTGTTCATAGTAAAACACCCTGATTCTTCCTAAAGTTGAGGACAGGTTGAGTTACTGATGGTTGTGAACCACTATGTGGTTGCTGGGAATCAAACCCTGGTCCTCTGGAAAAGTAACAATTGCTCTTAACTGCTGAGCCCTCTGTCCAGCCCCTAACTGCTTTTCGGCAGATGTAGTGGTACAATAAGATTGCTTTAGCTACACAGTGAAAAGGATCTTTGCCTAATGAGACTTCTTCTTTTTAGGGGCTGATGTTCACAGTCAGGCCTCTGACTCTTCCTCCATTTTACTTGAAGCTGTTAGAGGAGGGAATCCAGAATCTGTGAGTCTCTTGCTAGAGTATGGAGCTGACGCCAACATTCCTAAAAGTTCAGGCCACCTGCCCATCCATGTGGCAGCTGACAAAGGCCACTTTTTGTAAGTTCAATTCTGTAATTGTAAATAACAGGAAATCCTAATAACTAGTTTTGTTGCCACTGTTGTTGTTAAGAACTGCTTTGGAAATATGAAACGCCTTAGGTCTCAGGTGACTGAGCTAATATAGAGTTTTTAACCTAAAGAGGGGGTTCTACTAAATTTTACTTGACATCTGAGTTTCTTGATGAAGAAGCTCCCACTTATGTTTGGGGACTTAAATACTGCCTGATTAACACAGCATTCAGTGTAGGGAAAACAGTCTCATACGCAGGTTGACTCTGCACCGTAACAACCTAAAGTGCATTTTGCAATTCTTCCTCAGAGCTCTAAAGGTATTGATTCCAGTCACGGACATTGCAGCCATCAAGAAGAGTGGGATCAGCCCAGTTCACTGTGCAGCAGCAGGGGCGCACCCCCAGTGCCTGGAGCTTCTCATTCGAGCTGGATTTGATGTGAATTTCATGCTGGATCAGAGAATCCGTAAACATTATGACGATCAAAGGAAGTCAGCCTTGTATTTTGCTGTATCAAATGGTGACCTCTCTTCAGTTAAGCTGCTTCTGAGTGCTGGAGCTCTACCCAATCAAGACCCAGTCAACTGCCTACAGATAGCTCTCAGGATGGGCAACTATGAGCTCATAAGTCTATTACTGAGGCATGGGGCCAACGTCAATTACTTCTGCCGAGTTAACCCTTTGCATTTCCCATCAGCACTGCAGTATACATTGAAAGACGAAGTCATGCTCAGGATGCTCTTGAATTATGGCTATGACACCGAACGATGTTTTGATTGTCCTCATGGGGAAAGGGTTCATCGTTTGTGTACTTTTGAAGGCTGGACATCTACAGTTATTAAAGATACTATGGTAAGCCCACAGTACTGGCCGCAGGCCCTTATTATCTTGTAGCCTTAGTTCTGTAACAACAGACACACAATGTGTCCTTGGGAAAATCTCGTGTTTGGAAGACTCTGATAAAATAACTAAACCTAACAGTGAGAAGATGTGAGAAGTACAGAAACAAATCAGAGGAAAAGGTGACTTCAGTTTTAACTATGAGGATGTTTCACAAGTTCAACCCAAAAGCCATGTTTTATATTCCAAAAGCCACTCTTATATTCTGGCTACTTTTTCTTTGAATGATTTATTTAGCTAAAATGTTTCTAAGTTCCCCATGCCTGTGATCACTGGGTTTCTTTGGTTCTCTCTTTTAGCTCTCAGATCTGCTCATCCCGGTTCCTCTGGCCCTCCTCCTGATGACCACAGACCCCACAGCACCTCTTCACTTTGCCTTCCCTCCTCCACCACCTCCCTCACCTTCAACTTCTTCCAGGGCTTTTTAACGGCTTCTTCCACTTTCCAGGTCTCATTCCAAGTGCCCTCTCCCAGAGGCCCTTCCCTGGTGGCCTTACATACCGTCCCTCTCTCAATCACTCTTATTGTGGAGATTGGTTCTTTTGTAGCATTTATCTAGAATTATCTTTTTAATTCTTTTGCCCCCTCACAGCTGCTATTCATTTGTTCATGGGCTTTTAGGTCTATGCTTAGCACATAATGGATGTTTTATACATACCTGAACTTATATTATCAAAATCAGAAAACATGATGATGAATGGGAGACTTTGAAACAGTTTGATGAAGTGGAAGGTTTTATTTTAGGTAATCTGGGTTAGAGTTACTTTGTGCACTGATCTGGCATTTAAACATACACCATCTGTATTATTTTTTAAACAGTTCATAATTCTCATTTGGACATTTTGACTAAGGGCTCATAAATTATTTAAAGACAGAAATTGTCATTGTTCAAGCATCAGGATCAGATCTAGGTTATACATAATAGAAAATGCAAAAACAAGTAATAAAAGCTTTAATAAAGTAGCATCTGGGCAAGAAGGCATACATACAGTCCCAGCTACCCAGGAACCATTACTTGAGGCCAGCCTGAGCAACACGAAGACTCTATCTCAAAAAACAAAAATAGGGTTAGCAAGTTGGCTCACCGAGTTAAGGGGCTTGACACCAAGCCTAATGACCTGAGTGTGGTCCTTGGAATCCACACTGGAAGAAGATAACTAACCTTGTAACAGTGTCCTCTGACCTCGATACATGAACACACATGAACGCACACACGCATGTACATAAACAAATGTTTTTTAAAAGATAAAGTGCCTCATTCGCTTCTCTTATAGAACCAGAAGTAAGCTTCCAAGCAGACAGTGTCATAGCTTTGTGTTTAACAGAAGCACACTTCCACATTCCAGGTGCCCAGATGGCTGCCTGTGTCTTGCTTTTCTTTGAGGGTATCTGGGTAGTTGCTCAGACACCCACTCACATCTGATGGCTAGAGCTGCCAAAAGGTCACAGATAGTGGCAAGGCAATCTTGGTTGCAGCAAGCCAAGTGACAAACACACAGAACAATCTGTCACTCACAGCCTCGTGCGAGGTTCTGAGGCCTCACTGAAATCAGGTGACAGAGCTTAGCTCACAATAGCACTTACGCTGTTGCTCTGTTCAACCACAGTGCTCAGTGCTGATTTTCGTTTGCTTTCTGCTTGTTTTCCTCACAGTTTTGTGAAGTCATAACTTTGTCATGGCTACAGCATCTCTCTGGAAAAGTTGTTCGTGTGATGCTTGATTATGTTGATCAAGTTCAAATCTGTTCAAAATTGAAAGCTGTGCTGGAAAAGCAAAAGCTCTGGCCAGAAATACATGTTATCTTGAGTGAGTATCCTTCTCATAGAAAATTCTTACCAAAATACTGTTTTTTTATTTTACTTGTAGAACACTTCTGATTAGAAGGTTGACCTAAAAGAGAATAGTAAAATAGTATTCCTTTAAAACGATGCTATTCATAACCACAATTACTGTGCTTATCATCACTTCCCAGTAAATGAAATCTAGTGACTTGTAGGTAGGTAACATGTTTCCCTAATCCACTTAAGCTATGGCTATGGAATAATTTACACACAGGAACTGTAAACTAAGTGTAGCAAGAGTGCGATGGAATGCTAAGTTCTAACCCGGTACCATAGTAAATGACACTCTTCTATACGGATTTGTTCACATAGATCAAATTAATTTTTTCTTAATCTCATTTCTCCTGGGGCGATCTTTGAGCTTTTAACCAATCCCAAGAGACAGGATGAGGGAGCCAGTATTTAAGTACTTGAAGGATTTGAGCCTCACAAGACAGACTCACAAGTGATGTAGTTCTGAAACTGTCTACACAGAAGCCATGATGAGGATGGAAGAGCTGTTTCCCTACAGACAGGGATGCCAAATATAAACCTTGTTAACACAGATATCAAATACATTTGCAACTAAACTCTCAGGTCAAAAAAAACAAAAAACAAAAAACAAAAAAAAAAACCAAAACCAAAGCAATCCTTTCTTTGTGTCTTAGGCAACCCCCGTTCTCTACAGCATTTGTGCCGCCTTAAGATTCGGAAGTGCATGGGACGGTTACGTCTGCGCTGCCCTGTCTTCATGTCGTTTCTTCCACTGCCCAATCTCTTAAAAGCTTACGTCCTTTACAAGGAATATGACCTGTTTGGACAAGAAAATTCTACAGGAATATGGTGATTGAGCTCTTCTAGAGGAAAAGATATAATCTGTATCATTTTCCTTAACAATTTTCTTGTAAATAATTTTTCTTTTCTTTAGTAATTAAAATCTCAGTGTAGACTACATTGTTTAAAAAGCCATTCTGTGTGGGATATGACCTACGACCTGTTGTTCAGAAGTTTCAGGAAACTTTCGAATACTGTTTGAATTATTGTATACATATAATCATTGTTCTTGACTACACACAACTCAGCGAGACACCACTGCTGAAGATACCACACACTGGTCACAGGACACAGAGATATCAAAAATATCTCCTAGCTGGCTAGCTTTTCTAGTAGTGCAACTTGTTAGTTACGAAACTAACTGGAGGTGGAATGGGACTCACCACTGCCTTACCCAGCTGGGGACTCTGCATGCTAGAGTATCTCACTGCCAGACAGAATGTGCCCCTGATGCAATCGTGGCCAGCCTGGGACTGACCAACTACACTCTGATTGGATATGAGATTCACTCTACATGAAGGAATTCACATCTGATACTATAATCCTGTTTGTGGGTGGGAGCAGGGAATGTTGCTGTTGTTAAAGCCCCAGACTTCAGAGGTCATGAGCCCTAGGAGGGAGCTTACTGATGTTTTGCTAAATGAACATGTCAAACTGCCTTTTAAATCTGTTATACTCATAAATGAATTATCTCAGCCTTGGACAGAGATGTTTCTTTTTTCAGTGGTGTCAATTAAGGCAGAGACTCCTAACTGGTGAAAATATGCAAATAACTGGCGCGTGCTCAGCCTTAAGCAGAACATTGATAATCTCCCCCTCCGAGGCTGAGAGCACATGGCAGAAGGAGCAGAAAAACTGTTAAGAGCCAGAGGATTGGGGGAGGGGTGGCTATGAAAACTGTACACGACATGGTCATCATGACTTCATGACGTGTAGACACTGTGGGCAGCTGCACAAGATTTGGGCCCACCGACATCTCATCACAGTACCAGAGTGCTTGCCACACTAGCCTGGAGACCAGGATTTGACCCCCATTAGCAAGAGAAAACCAACTCCAACAAGTGTCCTCTGATCTCCACATACACACCATGTCGTGCACACGTGTGTGCCCGTGCGCACACACACAGACACACACTTTCTCTAAATAAAGCAACAAAAAAAATTCCACCATGGGTTATGGAAAGATCATGAAGCCCCACTATTCCTGGAAGAGGAGCTCCTGGTAACTGACAGCTTCGAAGGGAAGGGAGAGTCACTTTCTTCAGTGGTGTAACCCTGGAAGCTGTTCATACTCTAGTAAGTTATTTACTTGTATGGGATGGTCACATCGGCGCTGCCCTGTCTGCATGATCATGCAAGCAACCATAATTACCCAGTGAACTGGGCAGATAGATAAGAAAGGGAACACATGGCAGGAAAGAAAGGGTTTGGCAGGAATGTAAGGGGGATGAGTGAGGGTAATGGTAAATATAATCAAAATACATACATGTGAAACTATCAAAAATAAATTTAAAAAATTTTAATGTAGCTTTGAAATCAGGCATGGTGGTATATGCCTGTAATCCCAGCTCTTGGGAGACAGAGGCAGAAGGATAGAGAAATCAAGGTCACACTTGACTACACGGTGAATTCAAGAAAGCTCCAGCTGTATGAGATGGTCTCAAAAAAAAAAAAAAGTAGCTTTGAACATAGTGTCTTAACACTCGGCTAAAACTAAGGCAATTAAAAGATCAAAACTGGGGCTGGAGAGATAGCTTAGTGGTTAAGATCACTGATTGCTCTTCCAGAGGTCCCGAGTTCAATTCCCAGCAACCACATGGTGGCTCACAACCATCTGTAATGGGACCCAATGCCCTCTTCTGGTGTGTCTGTAGACAGCTGCAGTTTACTAATACACATAAAATAAACAAATCTTTGCCAGGCAGTGGCACACGCCTTTAATCCCAGCACTCGGGAGGCAGAGGCAGGCAGATTTCCGAGTTAGAGGGCAGCCTGGTCTACAGAGTGAGTTCCAGGACAGCCAGGACTACACAGAGAAACCCTGTCTCAAAAAACCAAAAGTTCATCCAAGTACAGTGGCACATGCCTAGAATCCAAACCACTCAGGAGGTGAGGGAGGAGGACTCAAATCAAGGCCATCCTAGGCTGGGCTACAGGGCAAGACCTTGAGAACTAACACAAACTTCAAGTAACTGAAATACATGCAGTCCTAATAGTGTGCTGATCTTATAGTAAGTATATAGATGCAATTTCTTTGTGCTTAAAACAACAAATGTCACTTCTGACCACTGTTTTTCAGGGGCTTTTTGGTTTTTCAAGACAGGGTTTCTCTGTGTAGTCCTGGCTGTCTCGGAACTCACTCTGTAGACCAGGCTGGCCTCGAACTCAGAAATCCACCTGCCTCTGCCTCCCAAGTGCTGGGATCAAAGGCATGTGCCACCACTGCCTGGCCGGGTTTTTTTGTTTTGTTTTGGTTTTTGTTTCTTAAATAGCTCTGCTGGCCTAGAACTCAAGAGACTGACCTGTATCTGCCTCTTGAATGCTAGAATTAAGTGTGCACAACCATCCCTGGCCATGCCTCTTGTAATCGTACAGAGTATGTCTTACTGATTCAAATGAATAAAAAGTAACCCTATTACATGACCCAGAAATTAGTTCTTGTACCACAATCCCAGTGCAAACTTAGCTTCTGACACCATTTCTTCATAGCCAAGTACACAGGCAAGGTAATTTAGAACTCAAAATTGAAATTTTATCACTGATGGGAAAAATACTAGCCATCTTTCTGGAAAGTCCTGGTTATGGTTTACCACTTACCAATTAATGTGATCCCTGGCTGAGGAATTTAAAGTGTTTTCAAATTAATGAACTTACGTTTATTGCACTCAACACAGGCTGGTACTGAACAGGGATGGGCTCACTACCGACAGATGACGCCAGTTTTAATTTTTTATTTCTATACTATATTACATGCATAGAATGTTTAAATTGTTATTCTTTTACTAGTGTATATAAGTAAAAGATACTTAAGTTTTTTACTCATATACAGGCAAGTATGGAAAGCTGAGGAAGAATACAGGTGCTGATTAGGCCACATATCTTGTTCAAATGGCACAGAAGGGTGGTGCGCCCCATCTCACTGCAGCCCAGTCAGCCATCACACTGAAGCTCTCCTATCCGTCTTAATATTTTTAGCATCAGCATAGTTCATTTTAGTACAACTAACAGTCTTTGATTTCCAATACAGGGACCCATAGCTACATTAGCTACTTGAGTAAACACAGACTTTTTTTACACTAAAATTTTTGCAATACTAGTGAACTTGAAGACTTGTTTAGGTCATACATGCACTTAGGTAAATTTAAAATTCTAGTTAATTTCATCCACTCTCTTGACCTACAAGTATATACACATTTTTTTAAAACTCAAATTAGTATATAAATTCTAAGTTCTTGCTTAGTTCAATAATAAACTACACAGAGCACACGGAATAAATCCATTAGTATTAAAACTACAGGTCCAAGCTACTTAAGCCAGAGCAAACAATAACCTGTCTTCTTAACCAGAGGAATTTCAAGTAGGCTAAGTGCATAAAGTACACATCATAAATAACTTACTGGAGTAATTATGTCTCTTTCCTTTGCTATTAAAAAAAAAAAAACTTTTCCTGATAAGTGACTCCCCTTTGGCCTGTAGAATTGTAATGGGGTCAAATGTGTTACAATAGATTAAAAGAAACTTTAATATTTGTCTTATTTTTAATTACATGTATGCATGTGTGTCTGTGTGGGGAATTGCATGTGTGAGCGTGTGACATGTGAGCACAATGCCCATCAATGTTGGAAGTGTTGGGTCCACTGAAGCTGAAGTTGCAGGCAAGTGTGAGCCATCTGATGTGGGTGCTGGAAACTGAACTCAGGCCTATGGAAGAGGAGCATACAGTGCTATCTCCCAGCTCCAGATTGAAAACATCTGAAATTACTTTGAGGAAAAAAATTCAGAGTAACTATCAAATATTTCATACAAAAATACCGTATAAAAATCATGGACTTTATTATACATTTTAAAAAATCCAACAACACATTTCTTGAAGCCTTGTCAGCAAATACCTATTTTGACAAATGAAAAAATAAGTCCTCTGCTCCACAAGCTATACCATGATCACAAATCCAATTTTAAAGAGATGCTAAATGATTTTTAATTGTACACTGCACAATTGGTTAATATCAGTGAAATAAGAATTAATCAATTTACTTACATTACAAAATCCACAAAACATACAAAGCAGTCTTACACATAAATCATTTCATCCCATAGTATTCACATAAGTTGGTTACTCACAAGTATAGCCAGAGACTAATTAAAAGTTCAGGACGGACAGTGGTCTCTCCTTGCTGCCTTCGACTTGGGAGGCAGAGGCAAGTGGATATCTGATCTAGGCCAGCCTGGTCTACAGAAAGAAAGAGTTCCAAAGTTCCCAGGACTACACAGAAAAACCCTACCTCAGAAGGAATGAACCATCCTGCTTACATGCCTCAGTCCTCCTTCAGAGATGGTGCTCTCCAGTTACACCATCTCAGGAAGGAGTAGCATTCAATTCTGGGCCAAAACAGAGGGTTATTCGGATAGTAGAAATGCAGAAAGACCCAACGGAGCCTCCAAGATTCAAAATTAGTTAAGAAAATCCCTTGGGGACCACTGTCCCCTCCTATACCTGTAATGCACTCTCCTCCTCGGCAGACGACTGTAAAGGAACAGCAGAAGTGGAAAATCCCTCCTTGTATTTCCAAGTGGAAGAACTCTAAGGGGTTCCATTAGATAAACGGCTGGCTGCTGATGGAAGAGGACTTTAGATGGTCCATATAAATGAAAAATTTGCCAATCTGGCTGAAGCACTATACATTGCTGATCGGAAGGCTGGAGAAGCAGTGGATACGCGAGCCCAAGTATCGAGCCCAAGTAGAAAGAAAGAGGTCTAGAAAAGGAGAAACATGAAGAGAAACTTAGAGCAGC